TGTATCCTGCCACTTTACTGAATTCCTGTATGAGTTCTAGCAGTTTTGGGGTGGAGTCTTTTGGGTTTTCCACATAAAGTATCATATCATCTGGAATGTGCTCAATTTTCTATATTTAATTAAAACCACTGACTATTCTTTACTAAAGATTTGGCCAAGTTTTCCGATTACTGGCATCTGGAGGAAAAGTCTCAGTCTGAGTTCTGATTCTGGACCTCCCCCTTCCTCCATCCTTAACTCCCTCTCTCCTTTTCCTTTTTTTTTTTTTTCTTCTCTCTCTCCTTTATTATTTTTTCTTCACCTCACCTTCTGTCTTGACCTGTAGACAGGGTCTCAGCCAGTCCACACTATTTGTCTTCAGAATCCTTAGGCTCCACCTAGGTTTTTCTTAATTTCTTATTATCACAGAATTATTGCTTGCTCTTTTATTATGAAATACTGTATTTTACTGCTGCTTCTGTGGGATCTCATTCTTTAAATCCTTCTGTGATGGTGATGATGATGATGAAGATGATGGTGGTGGTTGGTGGTGGTGACGACAGGGACAAGGATAAATATATTGAGCTCTTAGCATGTACCAAGCCATAAGTTAAGCATGTTACATAGATTATCTCCTTTAATTGCCCCTTTGGGCTAGTTAATATTTATTTTCTCATAGATAATACAATTAAAGCTTATGGAGTTTTAATAGCCTGTCCAAGAAAATACAGCTGGTGAGTTGTAAACCTGGGTTTTAAGCAATTATTTTCTGCCATCAAAGATCAGACTTTTACCCACTACACTACACCACTACACCACGTCTTCTTGATGGCAAATGGTATTACACAGGACACTGATCGGGCACGTACTGCATGAAGCACTGGGTGTTATATGCAAACAGTGAATCATGGAACACTACATCAAAAACTAATGATGTACTGTATGGTGACTAACATAACATAAAAAAACAAAACATTATTTTGAACCATTAGATTTCCACTCACTGTCAGGAGCATATCCTAACAATGAAAGCCATACCTAAATGATATTGAGAACAGTCTTCTGGAAATAGCTGCATAGAGGTTAGATGATCCCATGTGGGGAATGTGGCAGGAATTCCTGCATTGGATGGAGCATGGACTTCAAAGTCCCTTTAACTCTTCAAGTCTATGATTCTGACTGTTCTGCTATTAATTCTCCTCCTATTTCCTAGAAACTTTCTTCTAGATTGATCAACACAACTGGTACCTTGTTCCTTTACCTGATTTCATTCTCTGTGATGGTGTATCAATGAAAAGTATGAAAAAACTATACCCTCAGGCATATTTTAGCATTTAATATTAAAAATAATAATAGTTATTATCTACTGAATGCTTCCTGTGTCCAGATATTATGCTAAGGATTGTATAAACATCATTTCACTTAATCCTCAGATTAAGAATACTTAAACCATTCTTATTTTGGTTGACTTAGTCTACTCGAGCTGCCATCACAAAATATCATAGGCTGTGTGGCATAAACAACAGATACTGATTTCTCACAGTTTTGGAGGCTGGAAAGTCCAAGATCAAGGACTGGCAGAGTTTGGTTTCTAATGAGGGCCACCTTCCTGGATTGCAGATAACCACCTTCTTACTGTGTCCTCCCTCACATAGTGGAGAAAGAAAGATCACTGTCTCTTCCTTTTCTTATAAGACTACCAATCCTATTGGATTAGGACCCCAGTTTTATGACCTCACTTAATCTTAATTACCTCTTAAAAGCCCTATTATCCCCAAATGAGGTCACATCTGGGGTTAGCCTTTCAACATATGAATCTTGGGGAGATTCAATTCAACCCATAAGAGTGGTAGACAACATTTAGGTTGGCTTTAATGGAAGTATGATGCTGTTTATGTTATTAAGACCTGAAAATGTTTGAGCTGGGAGGAGAGCATCTTTCTAGTATTTTCTAGACATCCTCTCTTCCCCATGAAGAGGATGGACAGATCACCTGTTACACAATAGGATGGTCTCAACATTTGGCAAGAAGGGCCAACTGTCTTGTTGCTTCTCAAACAGTAGGAAGAGTTCAGTTTCTTCAGGTTTGAAGAAACCAGACCCTTTGTGGGGGGGACCTTTCATCATCCTGTTAAAAAACCTCACGTTGTCTTAAAGAGAAAAGTAGTCTTTTTAGTGTCCCTCTCTCAGTCCTTGGAGCAGAGATGACTTTAGTGTCAAAAAGCCTTAGTTGTTTTTTTTTTTTTTTTTCTCCTTCAGTCTGTAGAACTAACTCCGTCCTCCAGAGGCTTTTGATGACTGGTCCATTTCTTTCCCAGGAAGCTAAAGAAACTATTTCGGAAGCTGAAAGATGAGACAGAACCTGGAGAAACTGACTCTACCCACTCAAAGCATCCAGAGCAGTGGGACCTAGACTACAGCTTGGAGCCATACACTGGACTGACTCCAGAGTACATGGAGATGAGTAAGATCACATGATCTTTCCTTCCACCTGGGGGAGGTTCACATGGGGGGTCTGCATGGAGGGCAAGGAAAGGGGCTAGGGAAATGACAGGGGCAGTCTCTGCATCTTCTTGGGCTTCATGGCTACACAGTGTCACCTTCAGTGCCACATGGAAGTGAGGAGGGTAGGGCAGAAGGAACCCTGGAATGAGAACCAGGAGCAACTCTATTACCACCTTGACACTAGGGTGATACACTCTTCTTCTTGGTCTTCCTCTCATCTATGAAATGAGAAGTTTGGTCGCTCAGGCCCCTTTCCATAGTTTCTGTCATTGATAAAAGGGAAATAGTGAAAGGGAAATTTAAGAATGAAAGTTCCATTAAGGAAGAGTAAAGTAATCCTAGGACACTCAGGCCAAGGATACTTATATCTTTGACTTGGAGAATATAGGAGAGTCCACCACTCTACTCAGGTGGGGCTGGGTAAAGTGTCAGCTTTTCTCTTAAAAAGTTGGGTTGTTTTGTGTAGGGGATGAGAGGTAGATTTCTAGTTACAGAACCTCTTGCTATTCTTGGCTAGGGCTGGAAAGCAAGAGTGCATGTAGTATAAGTTGGTGGAACACAGTCATTTCACATGTGGTTTAAAAGCCATGAGTTCTCCATTATATGTGTACTAATTTAGATTAGCCACCTTCAAGCTCTTGGTTGCTTGTGACTAATCCTGACCTTTTATTGGGGTGGATATTTGAGAAGCTTATTCACAAGATTTGGAACTAATGAATTAAAAACATAGGACCAAGAGGTCAGCCACATCATCTCAACATTTACTCAATCTAGAATGTGTGGAGAATCATCAATCAGATCCATCAGAAGAATCACTTGGTAATTTGTCATTGGACCTATCATTGTGTTTGCATGATAGCTCCTTCCTCCTTTGGTTCATCACTTGTAATAGGGGGCTCCCGATGCCTCTCTGTGCACCAGGTCCCAAGCTTGTTATTTCTCATGGATATTTCTCCTCTTCTGTTTATACGAATATGTGTATGTTAAGGGTAGAGGGATGGACAGGGTCTAGAGGAGATGGCTATAAAAGGTCTGTTCTAGTTCTGGGGTTCTAAAATTCCAGGTAAAATCTGTACTTTGTAATCTAAATAAACTCACCAGAGAAGGAACAATCCTTATATCTGCTTCAGGAACGATAGGCTAGGACCCAGTTAAGGTAAACATGTAGCTCCTTATGCTTTTTATCTTTATCTAAGTGCTACTGACCACTGATCCCTCTCTGGCACTGAACCAGGTATTTACACAGAGGTGATCGTGCATACTCCGGATGCCACTCCTCTGTGTCTGCCATCCTGTCAGACAGAAATTGCTGCCAGCAGTTGAGGTTTCTGCTGGGGAAGTGGCTTACGTTAAAAATCCCTGGGCTCTGTCTCCCAACCCCCAGCCCTCCAACCCCAGTCCCCCTCCCCGACCACCGAGGTATCCATGTAGGTTTTTCTGGCCTGCCTGCCTGTCTGTCCAGATAGCTGGCTATTCCAAAGCTTCCTCTTTTGAGGCCTTAAGAGCAGAGACACTAGAGCTTTACCCCCTGGGTTCAAATCCTGGCTCTGTGACCAACTATTTGGACACAGCTTTGGGTAAGTGGCTAACTTTTATGTGTCTCAATTTGCTTTAGCTGTAAATAAATACATAAATAAAATAATAATTAATGATAATAATATCTACCTCATGGGATTGTTGTATTTAATGAATTAGTATCTGCGAAGTGCTTAGAAGAATGTCTAGCACATAAAAAAGCTGTGTTGTCAAGTATTGCTGTTTCTCTTAATGGTCTTGAGGCACCAGGAAAGCAGAGTGTAGGGATATATGTGTACTTTGTCAGCCACCATATCACTGGATGGACATCCACTATGTGTAAGACTTGAGCACTTTACAAAGTAATGAGAAGAGGAAAAAAAAAAAAACCCAAGAACTAGATTTAGTGGCTTCTGGAAGATGTTCATACCCCGATTTTGTAGAGAGTGAAATACATTCTGTAGATTAAACAAAACGCACACACACAAAACTCTTTACAGACTATAAGGGAACAAATCAACCATGTAACAGGAAGTTTGAAAATAGAGAAAAGAAGGGAGCAGATCTCCCAAACTTACCTCATTTCAGCCCATTTTTTATTAGCATTTTGGCACCATTTCTTCTTAGACCCTTTTTGTTATGTATATGATTTAAAAATAAAGTTGTAATCATATGCACACATTTGTTGCTCTTTTTTCAGTTAGTAAGTATTTCCAAGTTGTCATATAATATTCAAAACTAAGAGTTGCATGATAAATGATCCCTCCAATAAATGTACCATAGTTTATTTGCTGATTTTTCCAATGAAGCATATTGGAGGCTCATTTTCGAATTCTTTCCCAATTTACTGATCTAATATATATATATATATATATTTTTTTTTTGAGAGAGAGAGAATGAGAGAGAGAGAGCATGAGAGGGGGGAGGGTCAGAGGAAGAAGCAGACCCCCTGCCGAGTAGGGAGCCCGATGCGGGACTCGATCCTGGGACTCCAGGATCATGACCTGAGCCGAAGGCAGTCGCCCAACCAACTGAGCCACCCAGGCGCCCCTGATCTAATATATATTATCTTCATACTGACTCCTCAAGGTAGAGTCCTACAGATGTGATTACTAGATCAAAGGTATGGCCATTGTAAAGTTCTCAATTTATTTTACCAGATTGCTTTCTAAAAGGATTAGACCGATTCACCAAGCCCCAGGCGATGTACAAAATACTCTTCCAGTGAATACAAATTATTTAGTATCCTGAAGTAATGTGATCTGAAGGAATTATCAGTGTACAGTAAGCTTGGGATTCTCAGCCTGTGGCCACCTCATTCCACCTTGTTGATTTGAATATTCCTAGACTCATCCTTTAAGACTTAGCTTTTCAGTGTTTCCACTGTGATGTCCTCCTAGACCAAGCCCCATTCCTCCTGGGAGGAATTGCTAATTATTTGCATTTCTGTCCCGTCATTACATATGGTACACACACTGATAGTGTATCTTACAGAATTATGGTAATATTGCTCACATATCTGTTCTTCTGCAGACCTAGTCTATCAGAGTCCAGTGTGTAGGAATCATGGTTTATTCATTTCCATGTCCTCCATAACCCAGCACATTTCCTGGTACATAATAGATATTCACTGTGTCTGATAAACAAATGAGTAAATGAATGATTTATTAATTAATGAGGGAAGGTTTCTTAACAGAAATAAGTGTTTAATAACAACTTTATGTGGCAAATGAAGGATCATCTTCAAAGTGGGGCTTGGTTGATGGTGGGTCAAGGATGTTTTGAAGAGATTTCCAGCTGTAGGTAGAAGGTTGGACTTGATCTCCAAGGTCACTTCTGGTTTTGAGGGTCTACATACTAATTAATGATAAGAATAAGGGAGAGCATTCCAAGGAAAAGGACTCACAAGGTCAAAGAGTCTCCTGGCCACAAGTAAGTGTTGCCAAAGCAAATGGTGGATTTTGGGTAGGGAGGGTTTGGATGAAGATCTGGTAGGTTAATGGTGGGCCCTGAAGATCAGACAAGTTGTGTTTCATATCAGGCCATTAGGAGCAATTGTAAAATCTTGGCCAGTGTTTCCCTTTAGGAAATAGGCAGCAAGTACAGAGAGGAGGTAGTAAGACAAAGGAAGGAAGAAGAAACAGAGATGGACTCATTCACTTATTCTTTCATTCATCAAACACTTACTAAGCACATAAGGGGAGGAACAAGTTTGGAGACCAGGACAGAGTCAACAGTTCAGAATGATATTGATTCAGTCAACAATTCAATTGATACTGATTCAGTCTTCTGTGGAGGAGGAAGCCTGAATCACACATGGGTGTTCCCAGCTGGGTTCCACAGAAACTCACTCCCAGAATTCTTTAGGCCATTTTGCTAAGCTATCAGTCATTTCGGAGACATGACTACTTTATTTCATATTTTATATAAGTGCAAGGACTATGTTTCTGAGTTAGATTCCTTTCATTCCTTTTGTCCTGGAATATTCTCTTCACCTTGGAAGGGAGTATTTGCTCCCATGTACAAAGTCTGGGCTGCAGACTAAACTTTACCAAATATTACTCCATCTAGTAGTGTAGGCTAAGTGAGCGTTAGGGTAGGCTCTGGAGTCCAACCACCAGGCTTCTAGTCCCCAGCCTGCATCAGCTAGTGACATGACTCTGGGCTTGATGCATAAAGTCAGCCAGGCTCAATTTCCTCATCTAGAAAATAGACTTGACGATAATAGCACCTACCTTATGGAATGGTTTCGAGAAGTAGGTCATGGATACAGAGTAGTTAAAAACCAGTGCTAGGTACATGTAAGCTGTCCATGAATATGAACTGCCACTGTTCTCATCAAGAGTCCAATCTCTTTCCCTTTAATCTAGGAATTGACTGAAAACAGTTTGAAGCCTAGGGTGCCTGGTTGGCTCAGTCAGTTAAGCGTCTGACTCTTGGTTTCCACTCAGGTTGTGATGTCAGGGTCGTGAGATTGAGCCCTGCATCAGGCTCCACTCTCAGCAGAGGGTCAGCTTGAGATTCCCTCTCTCTCTCCTTGCCCCTTCCATCCCCGCCCCCGCTCACTCATGCATGCACTCTCTCTCTCAAGGAAAGAATGAACGAAAGAAATGAAGAAAAAGAAAGAAAGAAAGAAGAAAGAAAGAAAAATAAGAGAAAAGAAAGAAAAGAATAAATAAATAAAATCTTTAAAAAAACAACAACAACAGTCTGAAGCCCTCAGTGTAGCGAACCCTGGAGTTTCTTCCCAACCCATGAGTATAGGGTTGGGCAGTAATGTTGATAGATGGAGGGTACCAGACTCCAAAGCAAATCTAAGAATCCCACTCAGAAGCCTTAGATGTAAACACTTAAAGATGTTTGTCTTTTCAGAGAACTCTAAGCCCTTAGGGCTCTACTTGTCAAGTCTGGCATCTCAAATGGGCTCTTTTTGTCATCTGTTTG